AAGCAGTGCGTGGGGGGATATATTATATATATGTTATATATATAATATATAACATATATATTATATAATGTGAAACAGCCAAGCTATACCGTGAGAACTAAAACAAAACAAATATCATTTCTAACTAAAAAAAAAGAAAAGAAAAACTATTTCAAAGGACAAAAGGCTTTTCCTTGTGAAATCAGTCTTAGAGGGTAACTTCTTGAAAATTTATAAATGTACAAAGATGTAAAACATTTTATTCGCTATATTTAACTTGCTGATATACGCTTTTTCATGTGACGCTCAGGCACATAGTTTCTATCAGCAACGTTAAAAATCACATTAGAAAAAAAAAATCAAGTTTTGAAACAGAAAACAGGCAGTGGAGAAATGTTATTTTGACCTTGGTGCCGAGCTAAATCCTTCCTTGGCCAACTCTCTTATAACTAGCATTCTAGTTTTTTTTAAATCTTTCACACGGTACATCTTTTACTGACTTGAAGAGTAGAAGTATTTACAGTAATTAGTGTGAATTACTCCTTCTTTATACATTAGCTATTTGCCTTTGGGGATATAAAGTGCTGATTCATTATCTTATCAAAACATGAAAATATTGGGAGTATCAGTCTGAAATTTCAAAGATTACGTTTTCCAAACTCTAGGAATTTCTACTTTAAGCGAGAAATATCATTGCTATAGAATTTCTTTTGAAATGTCACTTGGTTTTCAATAATAATAATAAAACACCTGCACCACTTGAGAAATCTTGTTTCAGAATTCGGGAGTTGGCTGCTTTGCTTTCCCCCGTGAAATCTGTATCAGTGATCTATCACTACAGGACAAACGGAGCTACCCCCAGACTCAGCAGGCGATAGCAGGGAACCATATTTCAGTGCTCGTGAGTCTAAGGTGGGCTTGGCAGTTCTGCTCATCGGGGTCAGGCTATCTGATGCAGCCTGGGCTCTCTCACACGTCTGAGGCTTGAGCCTTGCCAGCTGCACAACTCAGCTGTGGTCTGCGCCCTGCAACCCTGCAGCAGGCTGGCCTGCCTTGCCACGGAGGCAGAACACGGTCCCTTGAGTAGGGAGCATACATATCAATATATATATGGAGGCCTAGCTCCCAGGGAGGGACACAATGTCACATCTGCTGCTTGATGTTGGTCAAAGCAAGCGACAAGCCAGCCCAGAGTCACAGGGTGGGGAAACAGTCCCTGGCTCTGGCTGGAAGGAGCTACAGAGTCGCATCGCAAAGGGGTATGAATACAAGGGAGGGGACAATGTGGCCACCATCAAAAACGACCCATCAGGAGATCCTTCCTAATTTCTCATCATGAGAATGTGTAATTGATAAGACCTATATTTTTGCCTTGGCTTGTAGGCTGCATTGTATTCTTTATATTTCTGGTTATTGTGAATATAATTAAATAAATGCAACTAGGTGATTAGGAATAAAAGGATGAACAAAGACAAGAAAAATATTATTTCATACAATGTGAAAAATACAACATAACATGTAATGATATCTTTGTATCTTAGTCCTAATGTACAATGTATTTCGGCTCCCCCAAAAATCCCCTTTAATAAATTCCAAAATCTATTAACCACTACTCCTCTGCAGCAATAATTCAAATCTCAACCTAAGAACTAAGAAGGGATAGGAATGCCAAGGTCAGTGTCAATTTGGAATTTAACATACTTAAGCGTCTCTTCATTGGCACCGGGCATAGAATGTCAGAGAAAATGTGAGCAGTCCCAGAATTTACCCTGGATTCAACAGTACCACCTGCTACAATTTAAAACCCTAAGTGTAAAAATGTCTGTTCTAATTATTTTACGAATAGTACAATGTTCCTGATGAAACAGAGAAAGCATACCCATGAATATCTGAAGCTGAAGAAGAAATGATTTCTTGCAGTCAAAGCCAATTACAAAGCAAGATAAAAAGATCACAGCTTGAAGGAAGAAGCCAGAACAGGGGTAATCCCTCAGGAAAACAGCTTTGTCTTAGGCGGGATTTGATGTTATTGCATAGTAGATCACTTCGAAGGGAAAAAAAAAAAATCAATGTAAACCTAAGTCTTCAAGTTCAACCTTGTTTCTTAATGAAGTTAAAATAAACAAATAGAAAACTTAGGCTCCTTCATTTCAACATAGTTGCTACTTTGTGCTACTTTACGGCAGAAATTGTCAATAAATTCCAAGGGGGAGACGTGAACCAAGAAACAAGGATGAGGTTATGCGTCTGACTCCTCCTTCCTTCTCTCAAGTCACCCTCTTCTGATGGCTCCTGCTAAGGACAACACGCGGCCCTCACTACGGGAAGCAACTTTCAACCAACATTCTTCTTCCACGTTCTTCCCAGTCCGTCTTTGTACACGGGGTTCTATGTCACTCTCTTTTTCTTTTTGTTTTTCTGATGCCCTAAGAGCCTGTCCTCAGAACCATTGTCCACTTTCCCTCTCTTTTATCCGCCATCACCATCACCCCCATCATTCCTTTGTTGAACTGTCCGTCACATTCTTCGTCTGTATTGCCACAAGCCTCGTCGCTTCGTGCTCGGCTCACTGCAAGGACGTTCGTGTGGCTTGTTCACCTTATCTGATTCCCACTCCTGAGTCTGCGCTGCCGAACGTAGCCTATTTTTGTGTGGTTTTCTTCCGGCAAAGCACATATGCTCACATTCCATTTCCTACTGCCCAGGACCCGAACTCTTCCCAGTGGCTTGGAAGGCTCTGCCCTCCCAGCAGCGTGCCCCAGCAGGCAGCAGAGGGCAGAGATCAGGAGGGATGAGACTCCGAGGCCTGCGGTCTGACTTCATGGCCTTGGGCTAACTTTCTCGTGTCTCTCAGCTGCCATTTCTTATCCTGTAAAACGAGGTTCATAGTAGTGCCTGCCTCGTAAGATTCTTTTAAGGTTTAAATAAATATTCACTGTAAAGAAATGCTTAGCCCAGTACCCGGCACGTGGCGAATGGTCACCACTGGTCCCCACGCTGTTCCCTCTCCCCAACAATGTCCGGCCCCTTCGCTAATCCTGCCCTTCTTCCAGAAATGCTCCAACCACTCACGCTCTGGAAAGTCTCCTCGAGCCAGCTCAGCCCTCCCCGGCCTCTCTTTCTTCTGAGCACCCTGCACTCAGCAGTTCTCCAAGGGGAAATCTGCTCAGAAGGCAGAAAGCTCAGCTGTCTCCTGGGACTCAACACAAGCCCCAGGCCAGCACATTCCATGGGCCTTCCGCTCTGGCTGCACCAATCTGCAGGTTGGTTTTGCTCATTTTTTAAAAAAATTGCTATTCTAGAGTTTTCTCTTTCTTGGCTTTAAAAACCCATTTCCCCCCTCCTCGCCCTACAAGAAACACATCCACTTGCTCCTGAGGAAGGAGTCTCAAGCTGAGGAAGAAGCAGGGGAAGCAAAATGGTTGAGGTCAAAACCCTTTTCCGGTCTCAGTCTAGTGATCGATGTCAAACAGTCTAACGTTTTACCAAGACTTGTCTTCGTCTGGCTCTAAAATAGGATGGCAGCCCAGAGTGGACCAGAGAGAGCAGAGGGCTGCCGAGGAAGCGAACAGAGCGGGGAAATTATTGAGCTCTCTCCCCATCCGATTTCCTGTGTCAGTTCACTCAGGGTAATGCAATTATCTCAGGTATTTTGAAAAACAATCTATTTCAAAATAAGGAAGCTGGGGTTTTAGAAATCACACTTGGTGTGCTTAGGGGGTAAAGTTTCGATACCCAGGGCCCCACACCTCTGGGGCGGAGATTTCGACGCGGCCAGCATCCTGGGTCACCTCGGCCCCTGTCCTCCCGTTTTGATTTTTTGCTTATAGTTAACTATTAGGGAAAAAAAAGTTGAAGAATTCATTTCCTTACCAAGCAATGTTCATCATTAGACTTCAAATACATATGGCTGATTGAAGTACGGGAGGAAGAGCTTGAGATCTTTCTAGAGATTACTAGGAATTGTCACCTACTCTCTCAAGAGCTGCTTGAACACAGCGCAGACAGGGGCAGCTCACCGTATCTTTCTTCTTCTCTCTCAAGCCAAAGAGATGCGTAGGAGCCGGTGAGCCTTGGCCCCTTCTAGAGAAACGGAAGGTATGCAGCTGGCGGCCAAAGAAATCTGGTTGGACAACTTTGCCTGCCTTTGGATGAGTGATTGAAACACATCAAGCCTTGCAAAGGGACAGGAAATTTAAGAAGATTTATGTCACGGTGCCTAATAAACACAATCCCGAATCCCGGGACAGAAAGCCAGCCTCCTTGCCCACACTGCGTGAGTGACCCTCACACTCTCTGTCCCCAGGGCACTCACGGCTCTGCAGGGATATTTAGAAGTCGTTTTCAAATCTCAGAGTCTCTGACCCCTCTCCTAGATTCACAGCGAACAAACGAACAAACGTTTCCTCCCTTCCCATACATTCTGTGACCTCTGCCCCAGAAACACTCTCAAGATCGACGACAAGCCACTCTTGCTTTGGGCAGTAGGAGTCAGCCTAGTATGTCCCTTACCATTTTCAAAATACCAATACCAATGCCATGTTTAAAAAAATTTTTTTTTAAACCTCACCACACCAAAAGATCAAAATAAATGTTAATTTGTTAATTCGCATGTCCGATACAGGTCAGCTCACCTCCTTCCAAAAGGCCTTACTAAAAGCTGCACCGAGTGCTCTAATGTCCCCTATGTCACAAGCCACTCCACTCTTCCTGGAGGAGATAAATGAAGCTCTAAGAAAATTAAGGCACCTAGTCAAAACCCAGACCAATCTCAATGCCTGGTGGGCCCATCTTTAGCCATTGCAAACAGATTTTTGGAAATTAAAAGAGTAAACCTTTTTATATAATAGAATTTATCTTTAAGTCACAGTGACTTCCAAGTCTAGAGAGGTCGCTCCATCCAGGCGACCTCTGTCGACGGTGCCGACTGAGTCTGAGGAGTGATGGCTGCGTGACCAACAGTCTGCCCCGGGCCGTCTCCGGAGCTCGGTCCGGGAGCACCTGGCCCCCGCCATCCTCACCTGTCCTCGTAGCACACGGTGCACCTCCAGACGCCGGTCCTCCGCAGGAACACGCGGCACTCGGAGCACACACGGTGGCTGCAGCCCTGGCACGCGGTCCCCCGGTACAGCAGCAGCCCCAGCA